GGGGTGACAACTGTCCCTGGGGGGAGCCAGGCAGCTGGCGCGTGGGGGAGGGGCGGGGGGAGGCCCAGGAGCCCTGCCGGGTGCTGTGAGTGACCGAAGAGAAACCCAGAGAAACTTCACTTTCACCAAACGAGCTGCCGCATTAGCCTGACATGTTCACTCATGACGTTGGAGACTGTATCTCCCATTTGAGTGACAGGAATTACAAAATAAAAAACCCTTGTTTTGTTTCTTTTTATCCACTCAAGAGAGAGAGAGGCCGCGGTGGGGGCTGGGGGGCGTCAGCAGGAGCCAGGCGGTTGGGCAAGGAGTATGGGAAGGCCTGAAGGGATGGGGCGGGCTGGCCTGAGCTGCCAGAGTTAGTGTGAGTAGTTGTCAGGTCAGAATTCCAGGAACAGGAAACAGCATGTGCAAAGGCCCTGGGGTGGGAGAATGGCAAGCAGGTGGGGGTGGGGTGGCTCAGCATGTGTCACGTGGCAGGGCTGCTCAAGCTGTGAAGACTGGACCTGGACATGGGGGGCAGTCTAGTGGACAGACGTGGAACTGGAGGGACGGCCCTTAATGTTCCCCACTATTTGCATGTTAACTACAGCCAGGATCTCAGCCTTCATGTTCCCTGGAGTGCCAACATGCCTGAGGGTCCATTACACATTAGAGGGCTTCCTTTTTCCAGATGTATGGCACGGAATGTTCTTTCCACCAGACTGGGCAGGGGGAGAGTTGGCTCAGGCTGTGGCCCTTACCCCTCCCTGGACAGGTACTACTGAGTCTGGCCCAGAGCAACCATGAGCCCAGAAGGCTCATGCTCGTTTAAACTGGGCTGGGGTTGAGGGGACCCAGGGCCGTGGTTCCAGCCTCGGTGTCAGAGGCCCGGGCCAGGTCAGTGGGGCAAGGAGAGCTACGTGCAGACAGGGACATGTGGTGGGCTCACCTGCGGGCTCCCAGCTGGCTTGTGGGGTGCAGTGGCCCCGGGGGTACAGAGCACATGGGGTCAGGCTGGCCCCCAACCTGCCCTGGGGTCTGGCTCTGTGTCCTCGAAGGCCACCCACTCAGAGAAGGGGAGTTCCCTCTGTACCCGGCTTGACGGCAGATCAGCTAAGCCTTGAAAACATGCTGAGACACAGGGTCGAGGCCGCCGTGGCGCAGGAGGACTCACACATCGTGCAGGACGTGGAGGCAACACGGAACACCAGCCACGGAACGCTGACCGGGCTCACCCCCAGGCCCCCAAGCTCTAAGGGCCACCCCGGCTCGGGGCAGAGCCTGAGGGCAGCTCAGCGGGTCCCACCGGCAGGGGAGAGGCCCCGGGGCTGCTGCCTTCTGAACCGGCCCCTGCAGCCCTCCCCAGACCTGGGGGCAGCAGCACACGCCCCAGGGGGTGTCTGGTTTTAAAGCAATCTGAGTGCGGAGGAGCGCTGACCCCACCCACCCCAGACTGTGCGGGGGCGCTCCGAGGCCTCGGTGCTCCTCAGCGAGCTCACCCCCCCGAGAAGGGCCGCGGCCAGCACCAGGGTTCTCCCTCGGCGGTGGTCTTGGTGGTGATGGGGCTCTGCGGCGGGGAGCGGGGGCTGTGGCGGGATAGCGGGGCCGCAGGGCGGTCCTGGGCCTGCCTGCACACACACGGGGGAGCCTGCGCCCACACCAGCTTTGGGGCTGGGGGCCGGCCGAGCCCGACGACCGTGCTTCCTGGCCTCTCCGCTCGGGCACCCATTTCGGGGAAAGCAGGTCACCGGCGCGAGCGGGAGGTGCTCCGGTGTTCAGGAGGCCCCGCCAGGCCCAGGCCCACCACGAGGACACAAGGTGCCCTGCCCACGGGGGCCGGGGGGGCACAGCCCCTGCGCCGGCAGCACCAAGGGCATCTCTGATCAGGGCCTCCGTCAGCCGGGGCCGCCGGCACACCAGGCCCGCGGAATCATCACCACCAGGGCAAGACGGCTGCTTATCAAAATACTTTATTTTAGGAGACCCCTCAAAAAAAGACCCTCCACATTACACAGACGCCCAACAACACCCTCAGCCTTTTTTTTTGGTCTTTTCTGTATTTTTTTTTTTCCTTTTTAAATCAACTAAAACAATCTGATGCTTAAAATAAAAGACAGGAAATATTTCCCAATCGGACTTCAGTCAAGAATATATATCTATTTTTTGACCCTGGGGCCAGGCGGGGACGGGGAGGAGGCTGCTCAGGAGCACGGGGCGCTCCCGGGCCGGGAAGGAGCGCGTGCGGAGGACAGGACGCAGGGCAGGCTGGCTGGCAGCGGGGAGGGAAGGCGGGCAGGCGGAACTGGGCGCCCGGGACTGATCATGTACATAAAAGTGGTGCTGCGTCCTCGCTCCTGCCGCCGGCCTGCCGGCCTGTCTGGCGGGACTTCTGCTCTGGGATGCGGCTGGTTCAGTCTGGTCTGGGAGGGAGAAGACTGGGATTCAGCATCATCTTCACCGTGTGTGGCTTCTTTTGCAGCTGAGAAACTTTTCTTTTTCAACTTTTAAAAAGATTCACAGCCAAAATGAGACGTTAACTTCAAAATCCAAGACGGCTGTGCTCACTCTAGTTATAAAAACTCGAGTCTCTCTGTGCGGCGGGGGCCGGGCCTGCGGGGCCCCTACACCTTCCCGGGGATCTTGGCCCGCTTGCGCGCGATGGCGTCCTCCACGGCTTTGAGCTGCTTCAGGAGCTCCTCGCGCCGCGACAGCGTGCTGGCCTTCCCGGATTTGGTGCCGCTGGACACGGCGCTGGCCGTGCCGGCGTCCGACGCTTTGCCGGGCACACTGGTGATCTTACTGGAGCTCTTGCACTGGGGAGACAACTGGCGCTTCCTGTGGGGGGAGGGGGAGGCCCTCAGAGGATCTGCCGAGAGCCTCCCGCTGGGCAAGGACGCGCGGGGCGCTGGGCAAGGACACGGGGCCCTGGCGGCCATGGACACCGGTCTGCCTCCCGGCGGCAGCGGGCCAGGCTGCGGTGGGCAGTGCCCCTCTCCCGCCCTCGGTTGTGCAGCGTGAAGGGGGCACAGCATCCAGGGCTCGGCTGGTGCCCTGCTGACCTGTCCCTCCTGCTTCTGGTGCTTCTCTGCGGCCTCCCCCGGTGGTGGGGAGAAACCCCATGGTGCTGACCCAGGGGCAGCCCTGAGGGCCGGGGCGGGTGGGGGGCTGCACGGATGGCCGAGTCCCGAACCCGTCTGGACCACGACCCTGAGCGGTGGGCTGGCAGGGCAGGGCCTCCCAGCCGGCCTCCTGCGGGAAGGCCATCTCTGCCCTGCTTCCGGGGCCGACGGGGAAGGCAGAAGCTGGGAGCGCCAGGCAGCCTCGTGCCTCAGGGCCCTTGTCCCAGGACCTGCTGCGGGGCAGGAACGCTCTGGCTATCCTGCCCGGAGGCCTCAGCGCCCATGTGGCGTACCCAGGGAACGGGTGGGCGCTCACCTGTCCGGCGGGGCCACGGGCACCTTGGAATTCTGGCCTCTCTGCCGCTCTGGCTTCGGGGAGCCGAGTCTCCCGCCTGACTTCCGGTCCCGAGAACCTGGATGACACGGGACGAGGTAAGAGCCCGGTCCGGCCCAGCGTGGGCTGGTGTGCATGGACAGGCGTGGGGCGGCCTTGCCGGACGCCGGCGACCCCGTGCCAGAGACGTGGCAGCTCAGTACGACCTGCGTGTTCTCACAGGAAGAGGCAAAGGGCAGAGCGGGTCGAAGGAGGGGACAGGGCAGTGCCGGTCCTGTCGCAAAGTGAAGCCCCGATGCCCACGGAGGCCAAGGTCAGGACAGGCCAGCGAGCTCCCATTTATCCAACACAAAGACCCTCATCGCTCACACCTCTGGACTGGGAACGAACAGGCAGGGAAGCGTCGGCAAGAGAAGTCAAG